CCCAATCTAACCAACCACTATTCCTTTTGTGACTATTTCAGTCATTAACTTTGCTAATCGATTCACATTTATCTAAAAAAAATGTACCTTTTCTTAAATATCTTTAGGCTAAGGCTTACGTTTTTTATTATTTTTAACTTCTGAATTTACTCATGTCAAACATGATCATTCTCCGTTACGATATTTGGCGTCATCGAAGTACTTTCGCTGATGCCACCAAAGCAATATCATCGTCTCAGGACTCGACAATCAGTCCTACTGAGCATGGTCAGCAGATCTCGCTTTCGAATCTTCCGAGCCAGCAGCAACAACAAATGCGACATCACCAGCATAGTCAACTTTATCACTTGACCCAGCAACAGCAGAATCAGCCAACTCAGCAGCCGCAGCAGTCACACCAAAACCACCTTCAACAACAAGAGGATGAGCAAAGTTCCCTTCAACCTCACCTTGGAGGCCATCAAATGCAACGCCAGAATAATCACAATCAGCAGCAGAAGCAGCAAGACCATATGGCTTACCACGAACAGCAGATGTCTATCTTTCCTGGTGGTCAAATTCCATGCAATCAGGTAGCTTATGAAAACAGAGTTAGTTCCAAGTACTGGGTTTCCGCTCCTAAAACGTATTACTTAGGTTTTGCAATAGAGATTGTGTTATGCCCTGTATACTACAGAATGGTTACGAATAATTAACCAGAAAAAGCATATGCATCCAAAATCAGACACGAAATATAGACTTGTTATGATCAAACGAGAAGCGGTTTTTAATTGAACCAAAATTTCATGTGCTTTTGGCTTTTTCGAATTGTTCAACCTCCAAGGTAGGTTAAGAATATTGAAAAATCTAATCACCAAAATTAATCTTTACAAGAAGATATTAATACACTTTAAAATTAATTCTTAAAGACAGAGACTCCAATGAACACTTCGATATGACCTGCACCTCTCCACTGGTAAAAGTGTGTATACTTTTTACGCATAGATATTGTCTGACCTCGTTTTTAAAACTTTGTCTAATTGTGAGGGCGACTTAGTTGGATCCATCTTGTCCGAAATCCCCTGCTCTAGATGTTATCATATTTCCATGCGTGGGACCGTGGGCTCGGTACCTCCTCAGATGTTTCGCCGGCATTGTTGTCGACTTAGTCATTGAGTCTTGCCATGTTCAGCACCAAGCCACAACTCGTCAAAGAGTCAAGGGAAGTCAATCTATTGACCAACTTTATGCCGAAACGGTTGTGTTATTACTCCTTTCCCTGCCCCCTACTCTCTTGTCCCACTCGCCCTATAACAAT